GGGGGGGGGGGGGGGGGGGGAGGTGTCTAATCCTTCTGGAAATAAGTGATTAAGGCCCACCTGCCACCAGCCTTGAATATTTTATGAAGTTTGGATTATTTATTTATGCAGCAGTGAGTTACTGTAGGTTTGTTTGCAACCCCACATGGACTGAAGTCACGGCTGGCCGTGCTTTAGGAAGGCTAATCTGGCAGCAGTTTGTGAAATAAATTGGAGGACAGGACAGTGCCCAGTGTGTGTGGATGTGGGGAAGGGGGGCCCCTGCAGCCATCTGACAGCCGGCATCAGTGTGGACCGGGGGTGCTACCTGAGCAGAACCTGCCCCTGTTGCCTCCTCCCCATGCCAGAAGCAGCAACAGTTCAGATGCTGGAACCTTCTACAGGAGAATGACAGACCTTGTTAGCCACTACCAGCTTCAGAATCAGCTAACTCAGCACAAAGCAAGGATCCCTGACTGGGAAGGATCCAGGAAAGGTATGTTTGAACGGACAGCGTGGTCTGCAAAGAAAGGCTCCAGGATCTGGGGGGGCGTGGAGGGGGGAGTTCTGCCTACCTCATCCCCTCCCCAGGATTCCCTCCCTCCGTCCATGCTCTGCAGAGAGATCAGAGTGACCTCACCAGAAACGTGGACACTTGGAAGGACACCAGAGACACAGAGAAGAGGAGGCTGGAGGTCCTCAAGGCACCCAGCTCCTGGCCCCGGATGTGCAGGACTCTTTCTAGAAAGGCTCCCTCCCAGCCGTGGGACTTGACCATCTTCATGTTCCTGATGACGCAGCTGGTGAGCCGTGCCCGAGAATCTTTCTGCCTCATGTGCTCCTCCTGGTACCAGAGGGAAGAAGAAGGGAAGAGGTCAGGGAAACGTCTAGAATTCTCCTTCCCCCAAACCATCACACCCCACCTTCAGCAAATGCCCTTGATTCCACAGCAGGTCCCAGGCTGTCTGCCTCTCAGTATCGCTGTCCCCACAGTCCTGGCCCAAGTCACTGTCATCTTGTCCCTGGACCCCCACAGGCGCCTTCTCCCTCCTGTCCCCCAGCTTCTGCCCTCATTGTGGGCCAGAAATGATGGGAAGCTCCCACAGACCAGGGAGGAGGTGGGAGAGGCAGAACCCTGAACCAGCCTGGGTGTGGTGCCACGGGGAAGGCTTCCTGGAGGTGGGAGTGACCGTGAGCTATGATGAGCAGGTGCTGGGTGTGCAAATGGGTAGGTGAGGTGGACGAAGGAAGGCGGAGGGGACAGCACGACCCAGAGGCAGGCAGCGTGGTCAGAGAGG